GGCTGCCATCGATCTGGTCGAACCCCACTGTTAAAGATGATAGGTTAGGTTTGAGGAGTTGATAGGTCTGCTTGTATTGAATAGTCGATTGTTCACATGATGTGACCCTTTTTCTATCGGAATCGGCTCTTTTAGCCGATTCGCCTGAGCCTTCACAGATAGAGCATGTCTTTCAGAAACCTGTCAAGGTATGGATGGTTTTGTGAATTCTTTGGCTTTAGTTTGTTGTTATCATCATAGCTGCATCGATCCGGTCGAACCTCACTGTTGATGATAGCGGATTAGATTCGGAGTGTTTGTAGAACTGTTCGTATTAGATAGTCGATTTGTTTGCATGTTATATCCTTTCTCGTCAGACTCATCGGCTCCATGCTTCATACTGGTTATATATTTTGTCTAGCTGATAATTTTACTTATATCTATGTGCACCATATTCGTCATCATAAAAATAATCACATCCTATGAGTGTTACAGTCCTTAACAGCCGATTTTCTTCTTATGTCGGCTATTCGATCGATTTTTCCTGTCTGGCTGTTGACCACCTAGATCACTGGTGTTGCCGACCACTCACCAGCGTTGCCGACCATGACTAAACTAGAGGGCGGACAACGATAGTTTGTGGTCGGCGTCACTAGTGCGTGCTTGGCAACATTAGTGAGTGGTCGGACATCTCCGTGCTGAAGATCCAGTGGGCTAACGCTGGCTGCTCCCGAAGTGGCACACTTGGAACTGTATGGGCAAGACCGGCATGTTCCACCTTAAATTACTGATAAACTTTCTCTCCTTATCAATTACGGGTCAAATTGACTGGCACGCCCTTGGGAGGAATTCACAGGGTCGACTGGTCCTGCGTTGAAGCTAAGCAGATCTCTAGCCTTGCTCCGTCAAGCAGATCCTTTCGGCTTGCTGTGTGCTCGGCGCATCGACACATTTTTATGCCGACACTAGCCTATCAACTAAGCTAGGAGAGGTAAAGCACACAACCAAGATTGCAATATAAATGCAGAAGCTAAAGATGAGGTAGAGATGCAAACTCCCATCGATGACTCTGGTATTTTTACCAAGATATCGAGAAGCGCTCAAGCTTCCCCCAAGTCCTCATTGGAGCCCCTCGCAAGAAAACCCTCACAAGGGCCAAGCTCCCGGTCGGGAAACTCCGTGGATAGCCTTGGGCCTTCCCCATGAGCAAGTGGCCGAGACCCCGACATGCCTTTCGGCAAGCCTCTCCTGAATCCTCCCCGCCGTCTTCACTATCATGCTTCCGACCAAAACACCATGGGCCTTGTTAGCTTCGATACACAGTGGCAGCCACACCACAAACGCAGTTGGTGTGATATCGTAAGACTACAAGCCCCGCCGATGTACAAGCATGGTGCATGCAAGCACCTTATGGCAAGAGGTGTACAAACCTCACTAGCAACTAAGCCTAAGCCTAAAGCAAGCGCATATGAGCGTGGTCTAACTAACCTAAGCACTTTGCAAAGCACCTCACGCTAATCACCTTGTGATCTAATAAGCCCTATGCAAATGGAGAGCTCCAAAGTGGTGAACAAGCACACTACTACCTTCCCTCAGCTCCCTCTCTACTCATTTGGTGGTTGGGGTCCTTCTATAGCCCCCAAGTGGAGAACTAGCCGTTGGGACAAAACTACAGACTTACGCATGAGCACCGGTGCTATAGTAACTTGCACCGGCGTGCTACAGTCCATAACCGGTGTGTGCCACATCGACTAGCCATTGAAGTGTTAGACTCGACCATTGGAGCACCGGTGTTGTATATAACCGGTGTATATGCACCGGTCTTGTATATGACCGGTCTATATAACCTTTGCCCCTTCTTCAACTGATTTGCAAAGCACCGTTGTTGTATATGACCGGTGTATATGGCCGGTGCTCACAGGTGAGGACGGGTGTATATATGACTTCTCCAGCCAACTTGCATCTTCTCTAGAACTCATAACCGGTGTATAAGACTGGTGCACCACCGGTGTGACCGGTGTATGTGACTGGTATAGATGACTTTATAGCTTCTCTAGAACCCACAATCGGTGTATATGACTGATGCTCATAGGTGACGACTGGTGTATATATGGCTGGTGTATATGACTTTTGAATTCTTAATTTCTTTGTGATTCTTCTATCCAGCTTGGTTCCATCCTTTGTGGCTTGGACTTGCTTGATCTTCTAGGTCTTCCATGATGCTTCTAAGGTCTTGCTTGAGGTGTTGATCAACGGATCACCACATCGCCTCTGTGCAAGTCACGTTTGCACCCTATTAGACTATAAAACAAACACTTGCAAACATGTTAGTCCAACTTGGTCATGTTGATCATCAAACACCAAAATCCAAACTACCTGGGCCAATATCCTCACACTAAGAAAACACAAACCAATGATCAAACAAACTTATGTCCGTTGTTGCTTTATTAACTTCAACGGTTCAGTGAACTCACCCAGTACTCTCCATAAGCATTGCTGCAGTAGTAACCGTATCCTAGCTCAGACGGAACAACTCCTTCATGAGCCTTGATGCCACACTTACACTTATGCTTCGGTATTTTCATGCGAGGACACTCCTTAATGTCTGTTTCAAACTCTGCAACTTCATACTCAGAAGGCTAGTGCAACTTTGGGGCCATGAATGTACTCCTCAATGGCACAACATGGCCACCCTACCTGCATAACAAATGTTGCAAGTGTAATCTTCTATGTGCACAAAACATAGAAGCTTCCAAATGGATTCGTTGCATGAGAACTTACACTAGATGGCAATCCACAACGAAAGAAGGGAGTAAATGCACCATGTTGGCTAGGATTAGTGAGTACCGCTGACACTCCACAGCGACAACAAGGAGGATTGGCTAGACAGTTGAAACTAGCATCAATATTCTCTTGCTCTACCATTTTAGGAGGGTTTTCTCACTACTACTGTAAACTTAACCGAGGTAGGAAGAATGGATTAACCGAGATGGGCATCACAACTGCCTCTGACCAAAGGTCACGATAAATCAATATTTATCAAGGCGGGTCAAATGTCCACCTCGATAAATCAAATAAAAAAAGAAAACCCATGGACAAGCCTGGCGAGCCCATCCACGCGCTACCACGGCCGCAACTGCCCGCCATCGGATACAGCCTCCTGCCGCAGGATCCGTTGTGCCCATGCCAGATCCATTTGCGTCGTTGCCGAAGACGCTTGATCCATTGCGTCTTTGCCGGAGACGCAAGTCGGAGACGCCGAATCCACTACACCCACGCCAGATCCGCCGGAGACACAGGTTGGAGACGCTGGATCCACTACACCCACACTGGGGCTCCACGCCAGCGCTCCACGTCGAGGCTCCTCCGCGCAGCCCACGCAGCCCATCCACGGTCGCCGAATTCGGGAGAGGAGGAGGAGAGGGTCGCCGGTGGGGAGAGGGAGCTGGGGAAGAGATCCACGCCGTCGCCGCGCGGGCGCGAGATCTGCGCCGCCCTGGACAGCCGCCCGCGCCTGCACCACCCTGGCTAGCCGCCCGCCTACATCAGCCGGTGCAGTGAGAGAGAGAGTGGAAGAGAGAGATGGGGCAGAGATGGATCGACTGAGGGAGAAAGGGAGAGAGGGCTGAGGGAGGGAGAAATGAGTGAGTGAAACCCTAACTCCTTGTATATATATAAGCCCGATAGGTTGATTGATATGGGCTTTTGCTGGGCCTCATCTATATTTTCCCAGGCGGGCCTTTTAAGAGGACCACCTCTGAAAATGACGTGATTTTTGGAGGCGTTAATAGATTTTAGGAGACCGTTATTTTTTAACCGCCTCCGTAAATCTGTTTTGTGAGGCGGTCAATTGTGACCACCTCGGTTAATAAAAATGACCGCATCCGTTAATCCCAAGCAATAACCGAGGTGGTTGGATTTTGTAAAGGCATCGGTTAATGTTTGGGCAGTTCTAGCAAAATCATTTGTGTAGTAGTGTCTAGCGGCGGAACCCAACGAACAAACTCAGCATATGGCTAGCTCTTCCAGGGTCGTAAGGAAACAACCTAATCATCAAATCGAACATTTCATGGCCATCGATCCACCTAAAGAAGTTGCATCCTTTATATATGCATCAAGTGTTGGAGCACGCTGAAGTTGACAATAGTAGAAAGCACGGCCAGCGGACTCTGGATGCCTTGACTACTTCGTAAAGGCCGGTATGCTAGAGTCACATAAGGGTGTAGGTAGTGCTGGGAGGAAAGGACCGGAGGCACCATGATCTTTCGGATAATGCAAGAACTGCTTATTATGTCAAAGCCCCATTGAACCTGCAATCAAAGTTATCAACAAATAGTGTTACAAGTAGTTCAACAATTTTCATGTACCCTACAACAGCGTCCAAGGTACGTATCCTCCTGCAAATCATCACTATAATCATGCAAACCCATTAAGTCAAACCCTAGAAAAAACTTAATCACTACAAATCATCTCTATACATACACACGAAAACCATGCATTATCTAATCACTACAAATTAACTTCAAATGACAAACTTAAAGCTAAATGTACTTAGAACAGTCCAACCTAGACACCAGTCCAAACCCAGCAAGTCAAACCCTAGAACAGTGCCAACTAAACACCAATCCAAACACTACAACAGTCTAACAACTACACTTGGAATCAGAATATATTACACATCATTAGCCAAACAAAGATTCAGTGGCACAAGTATGGACTGTCCATCGAAACAAATAATTAATTCTTTGCGAGTTAATAGTACAATCGTATGCGCATACAAACATACACGTACCCTATGCCCTTCCCTTCCTCTACTCTATTTATGCCTCACACCGACCTTGGTGATCAGTGTGTCCCTTCCTCGCTTTGGCACTACTCAGTGGCAATTGCTGCTGCGCTGCCCTCCTAGTCACTCACACCACCCCGCCCTGCTTCCAGAAGGAAAGGAGGATCCCCAGCAGTCAGTTGCCCTCATCCTCTTGAGGTATTATTAAGAGGAAGGAGCGAGGAGCGAGGCTGAAATGAATTGCTGTGAGGCCGCGCGAGAGGAGGATCAGGCGAGGGTTGTGTTGTGTTGCTGCGCTGCGCAGGCTCAGTGCAGTGGGACCCAGGCGGCGCGCGGCCATGGACACGGGAGGAGGACCAGAAGCTGCGCGCTCGCCTACATTGAGCAGCACGGCCACGGCTGCTGGCGCTCGCTGCCCGCCAAAGCCGGTGAGCTCGCAAGATACTAGTAATCGTAGTCGTCCAGCAGCGTTCGGCTACGCTATTTTGTTTCGCTGCTTCCTAACTCACGGTGACATGCATGCGAATGCTGGTCGTGGCAGGGCTGCAGCGGTGCCGCAAGAGCTGCCGCCTCCGGTGGACGAACTACCTGCGGCCGGACATCAAGCGGGGCAAGTTCAGCCTGGAGGAGGAGCATACCATCATCTGGCTCCACGCGCTGCTCGGCAACAGGTGAGGGCTGGACTCCATCAACGGATATCACTGTCCTAGCACCGGCCGGCTAGTATACCTGCAAGGCTGCACCCGGAATTCAGTATTTTGACTGTTAGCTCGAGCAGCTGGCCGGCAGGTCAAGAACTCACTAGCATCCATCCCACGCCCTAGTCTTGCACACTTACGATGATTAGGGTCTTGTTTGGTACAGTTTCACCAATAGTTTCATGAGCTGTTGTGAGTTGATTTTTGCTAAACGGGTGTTTTCAAAAACAGTTTTGTGGGAGAAGCTCATTTTTATTGCTCTCACAATGGGATGGGGTGGGATGAAGCACTACCGCAAAAACGTCCTTTGCCCGGAGCCGCGATTTTTGCCGAGAGCAAAAACGCGGGATCTCGGCAAAGAAACCATTTGCCGAGCGCCGCTCTCGGCAAACACGGGCCGTCGGGAACTCACAAGATTGTCGTGGGCCTGCATCTCGGCAAACAACAACTCTCGGCTTCGTAGGCACCGTTGCCGAGACTGGGCACAGGCTCCGCAGCAGCAGATGCGAGGGGCGCGACTGGCCAAGCAGCTAGGAGGGGCGCCACCGCTTGGGGCGTGAGCCTCTACCGTGGGGGCTCGCAAGAGGCGAGGTCGCGGTCGTTGGGTCGATGCGGAAGAAAAACAGTACGAAGAACAAGAGAGAGAAAAATAGGGAAGAAAAAGGAAAGCTAAGGGTATTATGGTAATTTTATTCTCTTAGCCATGCACGAAGCTGTTTAGTCAAACCGTTTTCTAAAACAGTTCAGCTTCACGAAAAAGCTGCTCATAGAGTTGTTTTCTAAAATTTGAACCTTAGCATTGGTAGTATATCCATACAAAAGGAGCTATGCATGTAAACTTGTCCTCTAGTAGAGTAGGAGTAGTAGAGTTGAGTATCGTACTGCATTGTTCATCTTTTGCCTGTCCAACTCCTACTGCTGAGCTTGCGTGAGTTGATCCATCAATGCATATGACACTGGAGGTTCTTCCTGGAATTTTGCTTTCTTTTTTCCCTCATGATTCGGCATTCAAGCTTGCCATTCAATGATTCAATGAGCCCGGCGTCTTGTAAAAAAAATGAGGAGCCCGGCTCTGTCGCTGTGGACCAAAGTCCACTGTAGTTGAGCGGGCGCGCAGCACGCCAAGGCCCACACGGTGCAGTGGGAGAGCGTGAGGATCGAGGCCGAGGTGCCCGTCCGCGTCCGTCTCGACGCCACTGCAGATACCCGGACCCGCCGCGGTGCACCGCCTCGACTCCCCGACGTCGACGTTGATCTTCTACGAGAGCGCGGCACAGGCCTCGATCCTGGAGGAGCTCCGCGCCGCGGGTGCGACCGCGCGCGCCGCCATGCCGCAGCTCATGCAGGTGCACGAGGAGGCGCGCAAGGATCATCTTCAGCAGCACTGGGGAGATCAGTTTGTTGATATCGCTAAGGCAGACATCGCCGTCGTCTCGTCGCCGCTGCAAATGCCCGGACCCACCGCGGCGCACCACCTCGACTCGCCGACCTCGACGTTGATCTTCTCCGAGAGCGTGACGCAGGCCTCGGTCCTGGAGGAGCTCCGCGCCGCGGTTGCGCCGCGCGCGCCGCCATGCCGCAGCCCATGCAAGCGCACGAGGAGGTGCGCTGTTGGCGCCGGCTGCCGGAATGGCGACGCCGACGGCGATCTCTCAACGCTCGATGTCCGTGCTCTAGCGCACGACGTCGCCTGTGTTCTCTCTCTCTCTCCTCCCTGTGATTGTAACTGAATACGAAAGAAATGGCGCTGCCAAAACGTTGCAGCTTTTCTCGGTCTCTTTGTTTCTATTTATTCACGGTGATTACACGGTCCATGACCGACGATCCCCCCGCCATGCGCGCCTCACTCTGCGACGTGCCCGCCTTGAGCGCGGGAGCGTTTCTTACGGCATGGCGGTGACCACTTCGTAGCCGCACCATGAACGCAGCATGGTTCTGGCCCTCTCCACCGCTCATCTAACATGCAACTAGCTATTCTTTAGGAACTGTAAAACGTGCAACTAATGCAACTGTCTAATTACAGAATCATGCTAAATAAGTGTACGAGATTATGTCAACACGCGCAAGGATCATCTTCTGCAGCAGTGGGGAGATCAGGTTGTCGATGTCACTGATACAGACATCGCCGCCGTCTCGGTGCCGCTGCAGATGCCCGGACCCGCCGTGGCGCACCGCCTCGACTCGCCGACGTCGACGTTGATCTTATCCGAGAGCGCGGCGCAGGCCTTGGTCCTGGAGGAGCTCCGCGCCGTGGTTGCGGCCGTGCGCGCCGCCATGCCGAAGCTCATGCCGGCGCACGAGGAGGCGTGCAAGGATCATCTTCAGCAGTAGTGGGGAGATCAGGTTGTCGATGTCGCTGACGCAGACATCGCTGCCGTCTCGGCGCCGCTACAGATGCCCAGACCCGCCGCGGCGCACCGCCTCGACTCGCCGACGTCGACGTTGATCTATTCCAAGAGCGCGGCGCAGGCCTCGGTCCTAGAGGAGCTCCGCGCCGCGGTTGCGGCCGCGCGCGCCGCCATGCCGCAGCCCATGCAGGCGCACGAGGAGGCGCGCAAGGATCATCTTCAGCAGCAGTGGGGAGATCACGTTGTCGATGTCGCTGATGAAGACATCGCCGCGGCAGCGTTCGCGGGCATGCTTCTCGACGACTCCTTGATCCAGGAGCAGACGGAGGAGGAGAAGAAGTACTGGATCAGCATAATGAACCTGGTAAACTCGTCGTCAGCGTCGTTGCAGACGTCAGTCGCGATGCCCGCGGTCGAGGCGTCGTCCTCGTCGGCGTCGTTGCAGACGTCAGTCCGCGATGCCGGCGCCCGAGGCGTACTCGTCGTCGGCCTCGTTCTCGACGTTTGTCGCTGACTGTGCCCGCGCCCGAGAGGCGTACTCGTCATCGGCCTCGTTCTCGACGTTTGTCGCTGACTGTGCCCGCGCCCGAGGCCTAGCTACTCTCCGGCGCTGGACTCCTGACCCGTGAGCCCTGGACATGTTCGATCGCCGCCATGCAGCCCGGCCGGGAATTTAGAATCTGTTACTCGTTCATCAGTTGCCAAAGCTTCTTTATGTAATTCGACAACCATTTTCATCAGCATGCAGTATAGTGGAGCAGTGGACCTAATCGAAATGAGAAGAACTCTTATTTGTTTTTTTTTTTGTCTGAACCCATATACATTACAATCCAAACGTTAAGTTTGTATGTTGTGGCACTATACTACTGATAATGGACGTACTTCGCACTGTATATTGGTCTTTGACTCCTTTTTTTTTTAGACTATTGGTCTTTGACTCTTTGTATTCTACCGACAAATTCGGCATCATATGCAAATGCTAGTGCTCATAATTCTGCCTCACTAATAACTATGGACGAATTAATGAAATTTCAGCGAGACATTCAAGTGCTAAAACTCATGATTCGGATTCAACAAGATATTCAAATACTAATATTCATGATTCGGCTTCACATGTTACTAGTAACCATAGTTGAATCAATGAAAATTCAGCACCATATATAGAGATTAATATTCACAATTCGGCTTCAGTTTTAAAAAGCCGAATTATTGAGACTTTAACAAACATGCTTACTCTCCCAGAGCATGGAAGCATTAAATCGCAGATTTCTTTTAATGGATTATACGATGCTACTCTTGCTCGGAAGGAGAAATTTAATGAGTACTATCTTGAGATTAAAGCTGCTTCGGATACAAACGAGTGTCCGGCTGACAAGACCAAACAAAACAATGTCCATTCCGAATCGATGTTGTTGATTCCAGAGTGAAGATCTGAGTCTTGAATCGATACTTTTGATGGGCACAGATGGGTGAATGGGAATCTTGTAACGTACAGATGTGTTGTTTGAGCCTCTACCGACCTTTGTAGGTTTAGCTTAGAGCAAGTATAATAACAGACTATAAGCTAGCTAAACGCTGAGGTAGAGGAGAGGAGAGAAGAGAAGCAGGCTATATGCTTACAGCCGACTTAGGCACAAGAACCAAGAAACTTTATGAGAGGGACAAGTGCGTCATGTATCAATAGTGAAGACTTAACTATTATATGGATGGGCTGCGAGAAGACTACAAAGAACCTTACAGCTAGCAACCGACTGTAATTATTAACCTTGCTCTTGCTACTTGTCCGGGCATACCATTAGCCTTTTTAATATGTCGATTGGAACATAAAAATGCTGCCCCCTATGGTCTTTTTATTTTGCGGCAGCCAACATCATAGTTTAGTATTATATCTATCTAAAGACTATAAATTTGGGGGTCACGTCGCCGTCACTGTGTCATCCGGTGCAACCCCCACATATCACTGTAGATCCGTCACTGCAGATATCTATCTAAACATGAACAGTACGGATCACGATGAACAGTACATGTCCCGCTAAGGAACAGTACCAACCTTTTCGTTTTTTTGCGTTCACTGTTTTTTTTCCCTTCACTGTTGCCCGCGCGAAGCGCGGGTTTACCTACTAGTTCTAATATAAGTTGTAGTCAATCACCTCAAAGACCGTCTATAGTCAAAAACGGCTTCATGTTTTTTTTACCCAAGGAATAGTAGGTAAAAGGGGAATTGCAAGCCGTTTTTTTCCAAACCATATAGTAGATATACAGGTAATGCTATGTGTTTTAAACTCATGGCTTTATGATATTACATGGCACGTTCACAGGTCATACAATATTTGAAGCTCACAGAAAACTAATGGCAAACGCAGCCTGCCGATATTCCACTGAACTTTTTCACATAACAGAGACCCAACACACAAACTCATGATCATGATCTGCAAGCAAGAAGGATTGCAGAAGCACACAGATTTTATCTTTAGCCAGCAGCAGCTGTGCACGCGGTCTCACTGAAACCGTCAAGGCAGAGTAGCTACCTGGGAGGTCTTGCAGTTCTCCAGGATGGCCTTGGACTTGGTGTAGAGCGACGTGAGCTGCCCTTCCCGCTGCAAGAAGCCGCGGCTGATCACCCGGATATCCTGCTTCAGCTCATCCAACTTCTGCCTCTCTGTGCCCAGCTCCCCAGCCAGCTCCTGCTTCTCAGTGGCGAGGCGGTGGGCCTCCTGCCTGGTGGTGTAGAGATCCTTCTCGAGCGCTGCACACTTCGCCCTCAAGTCATCCAGCTGCGCCTGCTTCTCGGCCAAGAGGCTGTCAGCCTCCCGCTTGGACTCGGAGAGCTCCTGTTGCAGGGACAAGTTCTCGTCCCTCAGCACGTCACACTCTTTCTCGAGAGTGGAGCATCTTGCCTTTGATTCCTCAAGCTTTTGCCGATCAGAGATGCACTCCTTTTCTAACCTCTGGCATCTGGTATCAGTAGGTTCATCCAATGGCACAGCCTGCAAGCAGAGCAAAAAATGACAGAAATAGGCAAATCATTTCTCAATTCCAACATATTCCTTATCCAAACAGAAACCAAATTTGAACTGAAACAGAAGGGTAAACTAGTTTCTCAATCTCTTTTATGAAATATAAGCAATTAATTATTAGAACTTTTCAATCTTCTTAAGCTAGAGGCCTAGTAATATATGGAGGCAAATTTATCAAAACCATCCAGACCTCAGACGGATTACCCTGATGAATATTATCCATTTTTATAAGACATTTACCCTGAATCCCTGATGTACTCTGCCGACTAGCTGCTACAGACTCAAGACACTGAAGCACTCTCTTGTTGGATTGAGAACTTATAACTACCCTATGCTTGCTTGGCAAGTAGCGGCAGATAAGTAAGTAAGACACAAAAGATCTAACTGTTGCTTATGTTGCCTGTTACATAGTGAGTCAGCGCATGGGCATATATGAAATTGGGTTTGGTGATAATTGATAAAAGACCCAATTTGATTTTCAAGCATGAAGTGTGCAATGGCAAAGATATACCTAATATATCTAGCTTGCGACAAAGATTGAACATTAGAGGAAAGTAGGAAAGATAGGTTATCATATAGATAAATGGGCTGTAATTAAATTTAACAGCAAAATCCAGTCAAATATGAGTAGATAGAATCCTTGGCATATGCACTGAATCTACGTTTAATCAATCGAAAGCCCAAACCTCTAGAGTTTCACAACAATCTGAAAGCATAGTTTGTGGATTCCCGTTCTGCAAATATATCTCTAGGTAACAATTCCCCGTCGTCCGTGATGAGCATGAATATATTAGAGAGATAGTACCATTTTGCTAGTTTAGCATGAGCAGCCATTAGGTTCCAAAGATTAGCATTTATGCTATGCATTACTAAGATTTGAATGGTGCCACAGGATGGTGTTGATTTGCAGCTTCGAAGAATAATAAGCAGTAGCAGTTGCCAGTTGGACAAAGTTCTTGTCAACTAGCTTTAGTTTGTGTATCCCTTTATGGTTTATTTTTAACTAAATGAGAATTTATCCTAGCTAGGTTGGTGGGAGATATGGGTGTTAATACCAAACCCCACCCAAGTTCAAGCCCAATTGAATACAAAGTTATCTTGTTCCTGATTGGTAGTCTGTTACTCTATTTTTGTAACAATTAATGTCTTAATCACTTTTTTTTGCAGAGTATGCGGGTCACAGATGAACCACAGCAACTTGGACCGGGTACGGTGTGCTTAGATGAGGAGCACGTCTTAATCAATTTCTTGAGATAAAATTCACAAAAATCTGTTGAGTTCTATAAATATGGACAGCCTAAAATATTTGTTAACAAACAGATAAGGGCAAATGATGCAGGAAAAGAGAAAAACTTACTGATGTTGTATCTTGTATAAAGGATGCCTCACGTTTGAGACCAGGTGTCATCTCAAGCATGTCAAGATCAGTAACGCAACCTTTGTTCAGATGTGTCCATAGATCTTCGTGAGCGATATTATCCAAATCTTCAGGTATTGGGCTGAACTCAACATCTTGTGAATAACGTGAGCGACATGCAACAAAGCCATCTGGTACAGACTTCGAATCTGGAGTTTTCAGAGCATCCAGCTGCAAAAGGCAAACATATAATTTCATTATCACCAGGGACTTGCATATTAAAAGTAAGATGGAATGAAGAGGGTGAATATGGTGACAGACATGGACCATCAATGAAATGTGCTGTGTGGGCAGCTTTTAGCTTCCATACAAAACTGAAATCACGATTTGTTACCATGCTTCTTCTCCATCAAATATACCTGGATTGAATCGGTAAAGTGGTCTGACGATATGGCCTCTAGCTTCTTCTGTTGCTCAGTCAAATGTTGTTCTAGAGTCATTCGTAACTTTCTTTCGTCTTCAAGTTCCATAGCCAGTCGATCACGCTCAAGTTCAGACTACATAAAAGAACCCAGATAGCTTTATTATGTAGTTACTAAAGTTGCAGTTTATTTATACAAGTTAAAAAAATAGTTCTTTGATGCGCCTTCAATATGAAGAATAATCATGATTCAATGAGAAATGAGGTTTAATTATAGCCGTTGGTGTTTACACACCTTGTGCATGTCATTCCGTAGTTTTAGTACAACCTGCTCCAACCCTTCAGAATGGGAACCCTGAATTTCATGAAACATAAATCAAGACTCAAATACCTACTCTTATGGAGAGCAATACCAACCAAACAGCAGCTACCTGCAGTTTTTTACGAAGTTCTTCTATTTCCAACTTTTGCCTCTTCAGCAAAGCAGCATCAGTTAGAATCTGCACAGAAGTGGCCAAGTTAGGTTCTCTTGCTACTTACTCCCTCGTTCCAAATTATAAGTCGCTTTAACTTTTTTGGTACATCGAATTTGGTATGTATCTAGACATACATTATATCTTGATGTATAGCAAAATAGATGTATCAAAAAAGTCAAAGCGACTTATAATTTGGAACGGAGGGAGTATAAACTATGCCAACAACTAAAACTAATAGACTATCCTTACTGCAATAACATAGAGGCAGGAGCAATATTTGGATTGGCATCAGAGCATTTACAAGAAAACATTCTAGATTTTTGGAATAAAATTTTCACTTTAAACAAATGAAAAAGAAATTCTACCAATGTATCTATGGTCACTCACAATATAAGTTCATTTACTAGAAAACAATCACTAAGATAGCTCAAGCATTTTTATTTATAAGATTTAACACATACCTCATTTACTTGGGCACAATTGCTTATACATTTTGCTCTACTTGCGAACTGAAGAGTTCCTCTAGTTTCCTCAATGTGAATCTGTAGGTAAAATGTCATTTTATTCAGAATGTGCAACAATGAAGAAAATACTAGTCAGTACAGGAAGATATGGTATCACACAGTTTGCCCAGATGCAACAAATGCAAGTGTATAGACAAACCTCTTCAGGAGCAGCAGTGCAGATGATAGATGTCTTTGCGTTGCCTCCAAGTGCAGGTTGGAGAATGCGTGTCAACTTACTATCACGATAGGGAATGTGCCCTCTGCATAAAAATATTCACCTAAGTACCATTAAACATAGATCTTACGAAGTATCATATGATCATTGCATTCTGAACTAGAGTAAAAGTAACATGAATTATTTCTTTTTCTTGCATAACGTCAAAGTTCAAGAAGGCGCTAGGCGCTCTCTAGGCGGTGACCCAAAGCCTAGCGCCTAGGCGGGCCTAGGCGAGCCTAGGCGTTTTAAGGTGTTTTCCTAGGCGGTAGCTAATACATGCATAAATACTTAAAAGAAAAATAAAAAATAGCAGATCAGTGGTGGAGAAAGAAGAGAAGGCCCAATAACGGCCCAAGTCTCCCAAGTCTGGTCCAAGTCTTATCCCCTCCCCCCCCAGCCTCTATTCCCATCTCTCTCCCTCCCAGCCTCTGCTCGCGCTCGCCCATCGCTCGCCCACGCCGCCGCCATCGCCCGATGCCCCGACGTCGCCTCCTTCCCAACCGGTCGTCGCCGCCACCGCCTAACGCCACCTCTTCCCCCACCGGCCGCCGCTGCCTCACCTTAGCTCCTCCCCCATCGTCTCCCGACCTCCGCGCCGCCTCGACACGTCCCTGTCTTGGCGGATCTGGCCGCCTTTCGCTAGCAACAGTTGGGCAGCCGCCTAGGTACCCGCCTACCCCCCTAGGCGAGGCGGTACCCCGTCGCCCAGCGCGTAAGCGCGCCCAGGCGACTGCCTAGCGTCGCCTTTTTGAACATTGCATAAGGTAGTAACTTTTTTCATTAAGAATAAAACAATGATTGAAAACTCTCCATAAGAGACAACTCTAAAAAAACTCAAGGCAATAATGAGATCACTGCAGAAATGAATAAATGAGTAGATTCATAGATTGACTGCAGTACAGAAGTGCACACTGTCAAGACCAAAATGTTTCTCTAGCTAGTAGAAGTGGAGAAGGTATCAGTTTCTTCACTAAAGACACTATAATGGTCAAAAATCACCAAAGATGATAAAGAAAGCTCCGAGTTATACTTTGGATAATGGATTGGAGTTTAATACACTAACAAAAACATCCTAACACTTGAGCTGTTGACAGAAGGTGGACTCAGTATTGACCATTATGAGGCACTAAGACAGTAATAGGATCAATTAAAAAATTATAACAAGTATACTGTAAGCAAGAATATGGCACAGAATTAATGGATTAATTATGGAGGATGAAAGGTTACATAAATATAGTCAAGAATGACCTAGGGTTTGGCTTATAAAACAGAACAATCAATGGTGATCCTTGCCTATAACAACTCAATCATAACCATAATAACATGTACGTCTCCAGATTGATTTTCCATCAAATTTAGCACAGTCCACCTAAAGGAAGTTATAGGTTTGGGAAACACATGAGGGAGATACTTATGCAATACTCTATAGACAGTACCTTTGTTTTCCATTCTCACTCAACTTCTTGATGACATTCCCAAGAATCATCAAGCTCTTGTTAATATACTTCCCCTCATTCAAACGTACCCCTTCTGCCCCTGTCTTCATGATTCTTTCAGACCCAGCAAGGTCCACCAAATTCTAAATGTAAAACAAAAGGGTAAGTCACAATATTTTCTACAGATTTACTTTTACTACATACATGATACCTGGGTATAGAGTGAGCAGTACATACCAAAACAGATACGCGGATAGCATCCCCACAGTCTGTCTGGTCCTTACCACTGCTCTCAATTACCTGAGACCAATATAAACAGAACATTCTTGATTTAGTTATCGCTACCATTCAGCTACAGAAAATGGTTTTGGAACAGCTGCAATTACAGAACTACTGGGAATTCAGAATTCTATACCATTCTGAAAATAGTGTGTGACCGACTGCTCCGCACATTCATGTTGGTCTCTCCAAAATGCCTGTTCGCTGAAAACAATAAAGAAGTAGTGACAAACGGTAACACAAGTTTCGCAGTTGATGAAAAATAAAACGTAGAGACAGAAATGTGCCTTCTCCAAGCTGGAGCAGCTCAAACACTTGCTCTGCGCTGTTCACGATCTCCTCCCGCAAACCGGCCACATAGACTCCACGCTAGGCAACAATAGTTTTTTCATTGTTACAAAAAACTACCAGAAATCAAAGAAAAAAAATGTCCAAAGGAGTACTTACCTCTAAGCTCTCATGAATCCGCAGCTTTTGGCCCTCAATTGTCAAGAGATCGTTGATCTCCTCGTTGTAGATCTCCATGTAGGACACCCGGATGAGGAACTCGCGGTCGTCGGCCTGACCCAGACAGACCCAAACCCAACAAATCACTCAGGCGTAGCAGAAGCAATCGCAGCAACCAATCTAACAATCGCACCATCTTGTTCAGGAAGCAGTTAATCGAGCAACCAACGCACCTGGCGCACGGTGTCGAAGACATCGCGGACCGCGCGGGGAATGATGCCGGGGTCGGCGTTGGAGCCGTTCATGGTGAACGTCTTCCCGCTGCTGGTCTGGCCGTAGGCGAAGGCGGTGCCGTTGAACCCGCCGACGACGGCGCCGATGAGTTCCCGGACGAGCGCGCCGTAGATCCGCTCGTTGGTCGCCGCACCGTCGAACACGTGGTCTGCGGAGCCAACCGACCAAGCAGCCCAAGGTAGGAGGCACGAGCGGGCGGGGTTAGGGGTCGAGAGCGAGAGTGAAGGAGAGGGAGGTCGTAAGAGGAGGGGGAATCCGTACCGAAGGCGAAGGAGGCACCAGGTACGGGGCCGGCGACGCGGTGGAGGAGGGAAACGCGGGTGTCGTCGATACGCCACTCGCGGTCGCCGACACCGCCGGCGCCGTCCGGGGAGGGGTCTGCGGCCACCAGGTTGGAAGGGCGGAAGCGGACGGCGACGGAGATCTTCTCCATGACGCGGCGGCGGTTGCTTCGTTCGCTGGCGGTGGAAGGAGGAGACTGGGAGGAGGATTTCAAATTTCGGTCTGAGCGGGGTACAGGAAAGAGGAGGAGCGTGGCCGTGGTGACTTGTAAAGCTCGTGCGCTGAGCTGGGCTGGGCTTATTGGGTTTACTGGGCTGTTTGATAGTTCTTTCGTTTAAGATTACGTAGAATTTTCTAAGAAGTGACAAAAATATATGCATGGAGTGAAACAGCATAAGATGCTTTTTTTAGCTCCTTGCTCTGTACATCTAGAGTTATAACTTTCTATAGCATAAGATACTTTTTCTAGCTCCTTGCTCTCTACATTGAGAGTTATAACTTTCGTATAGAAAGTATCTTCATTTGATATCATACAAAAAAATATTATTTTTTAAAGCGATAAGTGTTTTGCACGTGATTTATGATGCTAAATCTTTACGTTATTTTTTTGAATATCTTAACTATCTTAAATATAAAAACTCAAAACAAGAAAGCTATAGATTTCATCGAGCTCTATAATTTTTATATAAAAATAATCTTCATCCGACCCCGTATGAAAAATATATGATTTTTCTAAGGTTGGGCCTTGTCACGCCACTCTCGAAGGGCAACAAAACTGTCGCGCCAACAGGAGTGATGTGACAAGTTTTTCACGTGAAAATCGCCGTTCAACGTATCGATCTTGTCACGCCTAAGACGCAACAGTGTAATTTTGCCACGCCAGGCGCGTTGGTACGAGCAAAATGGTTAAAAATAAAAATAAAACATAGTGGGGTTACTTTTAAAATAAAATTAAAAAAGGATTAAAAGTAAAAAAAACTGAGATATCAGTTTGGAGATGTCTAATAGCAAGTCCACGAAGCACCTGCACTCACAAACATTCACAACCAAGTAGATCGAGATAAACACAAATATTGCAAATTAAAACATAAAGAAGACAAGTGATTTGTTCACCAAAGTTTGGGTTCCTACTTGAACCCTACGCCCTTATTGAGGAAGATGTGAGCGACCACTCTGGAGTGTACTCTAGCCGAGTCTCTTTCAGTCACATTTCTAGATCCACTAGATTGATACTATTCCTTGTGGAGGCAAGATCTAAGCCCTCACAAACTTGCCATGGCACTTTCACAACCTTGAATGCTTGCCGGCAACTCCTAGCTATCTAGGAGACTTGATCTACAAAAGTAACAAATGCTTCACAAAACATGATCAACAAGTTTGTAAAGTTTAGATTGCTCTCTTGTACTCACAAACTCACAATCTCTCAACCTAACTCAATTGATTTTCACAACTCACACAAACCTCACTAAGAGGGGTTGCAAAGAGCTCGCGAGGCTTTTGGATCAGCTAGGGGCGTGGGAGAAGAGCAGTAACTCCTCCAAATGAGGGGGAGGGGGTATAAATACACCCACACTAATGAACTAGCCTTATGTTTGTCGAAGGTTGGAACTTCCGAGAAAAAATATAGTTAAAACTTTTAAAGTTGAACAAAATTAGCCATTAGAACAAGAAACTAGCTGTTATAATGTTTTCTGCAAAGTAGGAATTTCCGATGCCCAACTCAACTTCTGAGACTAACATGGCGCATCCTCAGAATTCTGCACAAGTTGGAACTTGAAACATTGCAGCAGGGCACTTTATGAAAAATGCCACACTTTTAGCTCCGAACTCCGATTTTCGATGACCGTGGACTTTCTAAAAAGCTTATTTAGAGGGCTATCCAACCCAACCAAAAGCAAGCCCCAAGATCAACAAGAGCAAAGTGGTGTGCCATGTGTGTTCTCTCATGTTAGCACTTAGGGTTTCGTTAATTTCAGCACTTGAGACTTGTCTAATTATTCATGTTGCATCCATCTTAATAGTACAACATACCTATACTCGAGATAAAATGATGTCTATTTTCACCACTTGAGTTTTTAATATCTTCATATGCCATGTCTTCTTAATATGACTTCATAAGGGTTGTAACAATCTTTGTCTCATTCTTCTTGAGCAAATCCACTTCAAGCATGTGACTTTAACCATTTCAACACAATATGAATTCCTCATGGCTCCTAGTCACTTCTTCATATAATCCAAGAATGATTTTATTCTCCTCACAATGTGACTTTTCATAGCTTGATTAGCACCAAGTTCAATACAAGTACTTTCTTCTTCACCACAGTCGTGGTTCATCGACATCCAAGCCGTTGCTTGCCCTTCATCCTTGTTTGATCTTTCAAAGCCCTTTTATTGCTATCTTCACCCTCTCAAGCCATCTCAAAACACATGGTGATTTGAATCAACAATATACATAATGAAATCTATGTCATGAAATCTGTCTTCATCCACATTGATTTCCAAAGCAAACTCTTGAAGTGAGACCATTCTATATGCATAACCTTATGTTCCATTTATCATTTGCAAATATGCTTGCCTTAACATGATGCAATGATATCCCATGACACATAAGCTATTTCATCAATTTCATTTGCATTATTGTTTTTTTGCTTGAACAAGATTGTTTCCATGATCTTCAACACAACAACACAAACAATTTGGATTTCATTTCAATGCTCTGTGGAATACCATCAGGTTTGCCTTCTTGATACACTTTAAATTATACAACAACTCTATTTTCCATGTGTATGCAATATAATCAGATCCATGTTCGACACTTAGCAAACTTGTTAGACCTTTAACCGGTTGTCAATCCACCAAAACCCCATAAATGGCTAGATGCACTTACAATCTCCCCCCTCCTTATGATTGATGACAACCCCGATTAAAGTTTACAAATGATACAAAAAGAAATTAAGCTTTTGAATTTAATGATATAGACAAGACTCCCTCTTAATATGTTCTTATGAGTGAATATCATAAGAATAGCCTCAAATGCCAATTAGCACATATTAAGTCAAATGAAAATCCTTCCCTATGTCAATGCATTTATGGAGGGTGCAAGTGTGCGTATGTGTCTTAGTATAATCCGTAATGCATATGACATGTGATTTCACCCCAATTAGTTGGATTTAGTGCTTTGATGAGTCGTTTGTGTACATCTCTCTGAAGATATCTCAAACTTATGCTTGATTCTAATTGAAAGTCTATTGTTAGCTCTTGTTATTAAGATACCAATTGAAGACAAATCTCCATATGTACTAAACTGTAGATAGTTCACTGATACCAATTAAAATATGATTTTTTTTAATTTGACACCTGCTAACTAGTAACTGCCCTTTTGTACGTGCAAATGTGTGTTCCGCCTTCACTACGATAGACGCATCCATGCATTATTCAGTCGTGTACCGCCAGGCAATCACTACGTGAAAAACGGTTTGTAGCAACGGAACAAATTTTTTGTAGGGGCGGCTGGTGATGGAGCCACCCCTACAGTGGAGTACTGGAGACCCACGAGACCAGCCGCCCCTACAAATGGAACAGTAGGGGCGGCTGGTGATACGAGCTGCCCCTACAAATGGGTCAGATTTGTAGGGGCGACTCACTCACCAGCCACCCCTGGTATTGTTATTTGTAGGGGCGGCTAGTGATTGAGCCGCCCCTACAAATGCCCTACGTACAGTACCGAGTCACCCCAAAATATCTGATGCCCTCCTCTCTTTCTCTCTCCGTCTCGACTCTTCCAGTGTTCCCTTCCATCCATCTGCCACCCCGGTCCTCTCTCTCTCTCGCAACTGCGCCCCGCCCATGGCCACCTGCTCCCCCGTCGCGACGCCCGTCGCGCTCGTGGTTTGCTTCGCTGTTCGTGACCTCGTCAACCATGCGCGAAGAGCGTAGCTCCTTCCCTGTCCTCAATGATGGCACTCCGGATCTCTGGCCTCTGGATCTCCTCCCCTTGCTCGACGACGGCCCAAATCTGCCCATAGCCGCAGCTCTGAAGGTGGAGCTTCATCTCCTAGGTGAGTGGCTGGCGGACCCTGTCTCCCTCTTTCTAACTCTCCCTCACCCTCACCCTCTCCCTCTCCCTCACAGATTGATCCTGGTGGGGCTTCTTCTATAGAGGCAGCGGCGGTGAATCATGGACGTCGCCTCGGTGGCCTCCTCCGCACAATTCGGCGAGGTGGCGCGGTCCGTAACGGGCGTCGCAGCGAGCCGTGTTCTTCATCCGTGGCGGTGGCGCGACGGGTCTTGATGCGCGGTGGTGGTGTCGGGGTGAGGACATGTCAGAGGCACCGCCGTTCCCAAGCATGATTGTAGTGACGACGTCGAGCTAAGGTAAGAGGTCCCAAGGCCCAAACTTAGTAGAAATTAGGGTTTCCATTTTGAAATTTGGGGTAAAAGGGCAAAAATCATGATCTAGGGTTTCGGGGATTTGGGGAAAAGTTTCAATTTGGCCGTGATTTGCAAATTCTCCTCCTACATGCTAATCCGAACCCTAGTGGCTTAATATGCACCGTCTTACATATACTGCTTTTCACATTAAGACTCAGTGCATGAGTATTACATATACTGCTTTTCCATAAAAGAGGTCTTGAGCATTCATGCTAATACTGAACCGAGTTTGATGGAGGTTTGTATTAGGCCATTTTTTTTAATTTATCTCACTTTTTATTATCATTACATGAATGGTGTTTCTAACCAGATCGAGTGCAGTGATTTTCTTTGGAACTGAAATTATTATACTGTTGTAACAAAAAATACTTACAGGATGTGCAAGGAGAATTGCTAGCAAAGTGTATTCAGATTAATGATACAAGATTTCTCTGATATATCAGTGTACACTTTTAGCTATAATACTATACAAAAATAAAAATGTATACAGTTACATTAATTTGCTGTGGCCTTGCAGGCTAGGCAACTTGCGGAGCTGACTGGTTAGTTTTTTATTTTCAAGAGCTGATCAGTAAGTTATAATAAATTGATTACTTACTGCAATTTAACCTTGCATTCTTGATGCTAAGCGGCTAAATATTTGCGGCCACATTTCAAGCTTTAGTCACTAGTAATTCTTGGACAGGTACTGCATTATCTGGTTGTAAAGTATTTTCTATA